ATTTTAGGCTTTTGGCAGGTAATGCAACCCCATATTGTAAAATTGTTTGCACAGGAGCGACAAATTCACTTTTAATATTATTTTGATATAAAGAACTATATTTTCAGTGACTGCTTATATAGTTAAAATACAAGACAATCTTTTTAAAATTTGAATTTGACTGATTTTGCATTTGCAATAATTTGGACAGATCAGATAGAGGAATATTTGTGTACTCTAGGAGATAAAGGTTCAGATAGTTAAATGCTGGGATATGGAGTTTATATCTTAGAGAACTTAGAAGTGTCTTAAAATAATTATTTAAATTAGCATGGTCAGTGTACAATGAAATGAATTTGACTGTTTCATTGTCCAGAAACAGAAAAGTTGGTTAAACAAATAAGGTAAACAAAAGTCTATTGAGAAAGATACATAGCCTGCTTGAATAATAAAAGTAGACAAAATGAGTTTCAAAGATTTTGAGGTTCTCATGTGACCAGTTTCAATACTAACTGTACATTTGTATATACTACTATATATATAAAAGAAAGAAGGTGGACCAATTTAATATACCTTTATTTGTATTTGAAAGCAATATTTTAGAAATAATTTTTTAATAGGACTGCTTAATTTTTTAAGCATATTCAATACCTTCTAATAGATTTATTAACTAGAAATTATAATTATGCAGTTTTAGCTTCTAGAATATATCTGTGAATTTGTAACTAAGTAGAAAGATTCCTCTTAAGTAACTGAAATAGCTGTTGTGAATCCTTTAGACATTACTCAATGTAAAACGCCCTTTTTCGAAGTATATATTACATATATAATTTTAACCATTTTGATAGTCTGTTTTCTTAGTACACAAATAATAAAAGTAAAAACTTTAACAAGAAAAAAGAAAATATTAAATTGTTTTCATTCTTTGCCAAAGAGACAGAGAAATAGAAATATGTTTTAGAAGGGTCTGTTTCAAATTAGTAAAAAAAAAAAATTGATTATTAGAAGTGATGTTTTGTTAACTTAGTGACCCTGGAGAGATGAGGCATACATGGGGTTTCTATTTGGTATTAATAAAAATAGCATTTTAGATTGTGGATTTTGTTGTTGGTTGATATTCACTGATAATTTTTCTAAGCTATATGGTCATATAGTGATATTAACTTTGGTATAATATATTACTGATAGAATTACTATTAAACATGGAACCATTTGATTTAAATCTGACTGATATATAAAACATTAATGAACCATTAAAATCTGCTCTAGAGCCTGGGGCACGGAAAATGTATGATGAATGTAGATCATCAAGTGTTAAGAGCAAAGTAGTTTATAGAAGGCTTAAGCTGGAACAATTTGAGCAACAAAATAAATAATGCTAGTATTTAATTTAAACCTAAAGAATAAAATAGATATCTGTGAGTTCATACTGATATAAAGAAGTGGGGGAGAAAGGAAAAATCTTTTCTACAGAATTCCACATACTGAATGTAGATTTTACTCTCTTCAGGAGGTGAAACATTAAGCTCCACCTCTGTTTGTGTGGTCTGTTCTTAGTGGCTCATCTTAAAAGATGAGTACATGCTTGCTGGGCAGAAAGAGGACTGTGTTGGACATTCTAGATAGAGTATAAATAAAAGCATTGAGATAACAAGACATATTCCAGTTTAGATGATTTGGAACAGAGATTGTAGATATATTTTATGAAGAGGTTATATGCTGTGTTACATTATTTGGATTTTATCTTGTAGCTGGTGGTTCTCGAACATTATAAGATACGAGAATCACTTAGGAAGCTTTCCTTTAAAAACAATTTCACAGTTTGACATAGAGATGGGTCTAGAAATAAGAGACTGAGAAGCAGTCTATATCAGAGAAGTGAAAAAAGTAGAAGTGAGTAAAGTTGTAGAAGCCAGAGTCAAAGAGTGTTTGAAAAAACATCTGTAGTGTCAAAAACCATAAAAAAAGTAGAGACTGGGAAATTTGGTGTGGAAATTCTTAGATTGCCCATGACTTTGACGTACTTCTGGAGGAGTATGTGAGGAGAAGCCAGGTTACAGTGGGTTGAGAAGCTAATGAGAANGTAGAGACTGGGAAATTTGGTGTGGAAATTCTTAGATTGCCCATGACTTTGAAGTACTTCTGGAGGAGTATGTGAGGAGAAGCCAGGTTACAGTGGGTTGAGAAGCTAATGAGAAGAGGGAGGTAGAGGAAATCAGTGGTAGACCACTTGTTCAAGACTTTTGTTATTGAAGGGAGGAAAGGAGGAAGATAGAGGAGAAGTTTTAGGGGAAGATGGGGTTAAAGGAGGGCTATCTGAAGATGAGAAAGATGTATTTATACACTGAAGGGAAAAACCTTGTGGAACAGATGAAGACAATAACTTGAATAACAGAAGAAGGACCTGCTAAAGTAGGGTGCTCAGAGGAATTAGAGTGATGGGCTAAAGATTTCTTCTGCAAGTTTTCTATTACGTTTCTGCTGCTTCCCGATAAGCAGTAAGGAAGGTTGGTGGTATATATAAACTTGGAAAAGCATTATAGGAAGTGGGTAGTTGTGGAGATTTATTCGTATGGTATCTGTTTTTCTCTCTTATGAAGGGAACAGAGTTCTATGCTGAGATTGAGTAAGCAAAGTATTAAGGCCCTTGAAAACAATGTTTGGGGGTCGGAATAGTCACTGTGCAGAACAGAAAACGGAGTAAACCTGGAACAATTAAAAATCTTGCCAAACTTAAATCCAACAATATATTAAAAAGGGACTATATCATGATCAAGTGGGTGGAGCTTATTCTAGGAATTCAACGTTGGTTTAACCTAGAAAACTAATTAGTGACAATTCACCATATTACAATCTAGAATTGAAAAAACCATACGATCTTCTTAACTGATGCAGTAAAAGCATTTGGCAAAGTCCATCATCCTTTCTTGTTATATACACAGTGGAATACTACTATAAAAAAAATACTAGCTATAAAAAAAAATGATATCCTATCATTTGCAGCAACATGGATGGAAGTGGAAACCATCAAGTGAAGTAAGTCAGGTACAAAAAGACAAATGTAACATTATATCACTCATGTGGAATCTAAAAAATAAGGGGGGGGTTCTTCTAGAAGTAGAGGGTAGAATAATGGTTACCAGAGGGTGGGGATGGGAGTGGGGGGGAGGAAAAGTAGTGGACTAATGGGTACAAAACCATGCTGTCTACCATAAGCAAATCATTGTGCAGTATATGCATGTATTGAAACAACATACTGTATCCCAAAAATATGTCCAAGTAAATGTTAAAATATTTTGAATTAAAAAAAAGGCACTGAATAAACTTGGAATAGAATAGAACTTCCACAGCCTGTGATGAAGGGCATAGATATAATAGATAAATAGATAAAGGGCATCTATAAAAACTATAGCTAATAGCTAACATCATACTTACTGGTGAAAGACTAAAAGCTTTCTGCCAAAGATCAGGACTAAGATAAGGATATCCATTCCCACCACTTTTATTTGACATTGTACTGGAAGTTCTAGTCAGTATAATCAGGCACGAAAAAGAAATAAAAGGCATCCAGATTAGAAAGGAAGAAGTAAAACTATCTTTATTCACAGATCACATGATGATCTATATAGAAAATATAAATGGAGAGATATACTTTTTAATCGTTCAGAGAAGACTCAATATTATTATGGCGTTAATTCTCTCAAAATGGATCTGTAGGTGCAACACAATCCCAATCAAAATCCCAGAAGGCTGTTTTGTGAAAATGTGACAAGGTGATTCTAAAGAAGGTATATGGAAATGTACTGTCCATAGAATGGTCAAAACAATTTTGAAAAAGACCGGTAAAGTCGATTAACTAACACTACCTAATATGAAGACTTACTGGAAAGCTTCAGTAATGGAAATAGTGTGTTAATGACATAAAGGTAGATGAATAGAACAATTGGACAGAATAGAGAATCCAGAAATAAATGCACCCATATGTAGACTACTGATTTTTGAGAAAAATACAAAGGCAATGCAGTACAGAAAGGACAGTCCTTTTAAGAAATGAAGCTGGAACAATTGGATAATCATATCCAAAAATGAACTTCAATTCATACCTTGTACTGTATTTTTAAGAAATTAACTCAAAAAGGAACATAGACTTAAATATAAAACTGAAAAGTACAAAGTTTCTAGAAGAAAACAGGGAAAAAAAACTTTGTTTTCTTGGCTTTGGCAAAGATTTCTTAGATAATAAAATCAAGATCCATAAAAGAAAAAATGGATAAATTGGTGTTCATAAAAAGGCAAAACTTCTCTTCAAAGGAAATTCTCAAAAGAATGAAAAGACAAGACACAGACTGGGAGAAAATATGTGTGTATCTGAAAGAGGACTTGTATATATACATATATATTCTAGATATATATATATATAGAGAGAGAGACTATACGTAAAAACTCTCAAAACTTAACAATAAGGGAAAAAATAATCCAAGTAAAACATCAGAAAAAGATTTTATTAAACAGTTCACCAAAGAAGATCTATGGATGACAAAAAAAGCACATGAAAAGATGCTCCACAACATTACTTATTAGGAAAATGTAAATAAAAACCAATGAGATACCACTATGTACCTATTAGAATGGCTACAATTAAAAAGACTGACTAGGGCCGGNGGGTATATACAATTGTCAAAACTTATCAAATTGTATATTCTACCTATTTACAGTTTATTATGTATTAATTATAATTCTATGAAGCTGTTTAATAAAAAAAAGAAAGAAAATATTTTGTCAAGATGGATTGTGGTGCAATTGGAAATTAAAAGGACAAAATGAGTTTGGAGATTTGCATGAAGGGTTTATTAGATATTTTAATTTCAAGCTTCAGATAGTTGCCACTTTTTTTGTTTTTTAAGGGTTGAATGTCATTCTGCATGTGAATGTAAAGGTAATGAGAAAAATGACATTTTCCTCCTTCTTTCTCTTCTCCTTCCTCCCTTTTTTCTTTTCTTTTCTTTTTCTTTTTTTTAAAGGAGTGACAGTTCATTCAGATTCTTTGTATTCTTCTTCGTCTATATTTGCCAGTTTGCTGTACATGTACTCCAGGCGGCAGGATTTCATAATTGGGGCAATTGGTAAGTTATTTACTTTATTAGTTTTAAGCTTTAATATAATATCTCTGTATAATTTTTGGCTTTCTAAACTAGTTAACCCAGAAAAGCCAGATTAGCAAAAGTAAACAAATAAAAGCAAAAATGGTAAAAAACAAAGCAAACAAATAACCCCCCGCAATTTTAAAGTGTCGTAAGGCACAACCTTTGGACAAAACATTTTCTTTGAGGACTGTATTCCCTCTTTAAAAACAGCACAGTGTATCTAGTTTAAATAAAATGTGTATGTAATGGGCACTAAGAAGAGGAGTGCAAAGGAGACAAAAGATTGGTCAGAGATAGGAGAGCCAAGGGTTATGGAATGGAGAGAAAAGAACTTTAAGGAAAAGGGTGCCTACTATGTGTATAGCACTATTGTAGGTATACAAATACATATGTTTTAATACACACATGTACATGCACATTTGTCTTTGAAAGGTAGAATCACTGCATACACATGTACATATATCTCTAAACAGTAGAATCACTCCTAAAATGGCAGGATGCTCACTCAATGGGGGACCCTCAGAAACTGAGGCAATCTGGACCGAGGCTAGGAGGTGATAGCAGATTTATGTCTCTTTTTATACTCTGGAGCACGTTCCTTGAGTGAATTGGTGGGCGGAAGAGTTCAGATCTCTAAAATTATCACTCCCTTCTTTATTTTATAACCTGAATTGCATTCAGTTGAAGTCTTGTATGCCAAAGTATATATGATGCAACTTTGTTGCACTGTGTACATAAAATTGGAATGAGCAACCTTACTAGAGTGTGCTGAGGATTTAAATTTAATATGCTGCTACTGAATTGGAGTAGTGATTAGCTATCACATGACTCTCGGCAGTTTTGTAGCCCTCCTAATGGATAGGGAGATACACACACACACACACACACACACA